GGCCTTCCAGGCACGCGACGCCGTGTCTAGCGTCGCCACGGCCTTTGTTTGCTCTTTTTCTTGCCGTTGTTTTCCAAGCTTTTGCAGCTGGCAAAGCCTTCTCAAAGCGTCTCTGCCTCTTCCGTTTTCTTCATTTGCGCGCGCTTTTTTCTTTTACAGTTGCATCGTGCGGTCGAGTTAGCTTCGACAAAAGCGCAATTCCGCATCAACACCGAGCGTCTCACCATAACTGCCCACCCCGTACTTTTGAAACGTTTACAAAAAATCGAAGGACATATTGAAAGCCCACTTCCCTATTTGAAGCGAGTACAAAAAAGTGGAAATGACACATCAAGCGCCCAGTCGCCACGGGTAGCCATTACTTCCACGACCGGCATGGGCAAGGTAGGAGAAGGGGGATGAGGAGTGTTAGAATAAAAAAATGCATACGAAAGGAGCAGCTAATGAATCATAAGGTCCCCCTTGCTCGTCTACCAAGTGCATTCTTTGTGGGCCTTCACCCTCGTTTGAAATTTAGCTAGTTTGATGTGTTCAGTGTTTAGCGCGTTGCGGTTTCGGTGTTTGCTCGTCTCACCTCCGAAGTTCAGAGGAAGCACTCCCACACGATTACCAGGGAAAGGAAGGTCGAGAAGTGGCATCGGACGCCCGGAAAAATTGTTAACCAGAGATTGCGCGAATTTAAAATTGATCGCGAGAGAAGGTGCGAGTGGGACTTAAAGTAGGAACCCTCCCTGCAGCAAAGGTATGGAAAATCGAGGCTCAAACGCAAGCGAAGTGAAGGAGCACCTGTTTTGGTGAAGAGGCCAACAGCGCTTTATTTGAGTTTCTGGAAAGCGAATGGAGGGCTGTGCTCACGGTCAGTAACCGCATTTTGGAGGAACAAGCACGGAAGATCGCTGACAAACCTTGAAAACTGGAAAGCTTCGTCACGACAACTGAAGTGCCGAAAGCAGTTTAGCGTCTCTCGTCGCTTGTGCACTGCCAAAAGGCGTTGTGAAACCTTGCAGAGGCAGTGAATGCCTTCTGCGGCGGCGTCTTTACGCGCTCATAAGGATTACTTTTAATGTTTGCAATATGGATTGTACAAAAATGAGGATAGATAACCCTGCCAACAGAAGGAACAGCATGGTAGCAGCCTTCAAAGAGCAAACGCCGGCTGTGCTCGATGGGGCTTCACAGCAGCCCTTGCATCCCGTGCGTCAAGTCACACTCTCAGGCATGTGTGGAAAGGACTGATTGGGAGGGTACCAGCAAGGGTCTCTGTGCAGTTCCAGACAAAATGGCTGTTTTTCTATGTTTTTCGAAATAAGACCCGAGAATTCTCCGAGACGACGGCGGAAGTGATTCACGAGGCACGACGAAAGGACTGCCAAAGGAAACCTCCGAAAGCCATTGTGGCTGGACATGCTCAACTTGGTGACGAACGCGTGAGCACCACGTACGACAGGAAGGGGAGCTCCACGAGCGATTGGCGGGGATCACCAAAGCTGCCCAATCCGGAAGTGATCTCTTCCCTTCCCACTCAGAAGTGATGCTCTAGTATGGACCACTTTTGAACACTTTTACTTAGTTTATGCCCATTCTCCCGCGGGAGTTCTGTTTTCAGGCGATGGTACGCTCGGCTGGTGCCGCAAACGACGGGGTCAAGGGCAGGTTGCATGTGGTGCTGCTGGTTGGATGCCAGTCCGGCTGTCGTCCACAAACTGACGTCATCCGCACAAATGGCATAACTCTCCTGTGGAACCGCTTCGAGGGCGAGGCCGGTTATGGCGAGGTCGAAAAGGAGTGGCGACAGAACCGCCCCTTGAGGTACGCCAACGTTGGCCTTCCAGCATTCCTTCATATCTCCATTCACTACCTGGTAAGTGCCGTCCCCAAGGAAGGTCTCGATAAAATTTAAGGGGCAGCCCTGTACGCCTCGCCTTTGCGCAGCCGCAACCACGGTGGAGTGCGGGATAGAGTCGAAGGCCTTTCGCGAGTCAATGGCGACGAGTGTCCGAGGTTGAAAATTGAAGAGATGGCATTCGTAGAGGCCATGATGGCTTCCATTAACAGGCTGTCTCAAGTTGACATACAAGGTCGGAAACCTGTCGGCATGGGGCGGAGGGCGCTCATAGCCTCGAGGATCCATTGCAGGTGGCCTGTGACCATGCGCTCCAATACCTCGCTTAGATTGGAGGTGGGAGATATCCGTCGGAGGTTTGCTATTGCGTGTGGAGTCTTGCCGGGCTTCGAAATGCAAATTACTGTGGACTGTTTCCACTCCACTGGTACTGCACCTTCCATCTAGACCAGATTGAATGTGTCAAGGAGTTAGTTTATCGCTTCCATGGGAAGGTTCCGGAGCGCCGTTATGGTGACTTGGTCTGGACCAGGTGCCGAGTTCGCCTTTGCCAAGCTGAAGGTGTCAATGAGCTTCACCATAGTGAATGGTGCCTCCCCTGGTTGTTCGTTTATGACGGGCAGTAGGGTGTAGAGCTTGGCCGGGGGTGGAGTAGGTTGTTGAGGTTGCTGGAGTAGGCTCCCCGGCTAATTCTGAAAGTTGTCCCGAATGAAGTCGTGAGTCTTTCGTCTAAATGTCCTTGTGTCTTTTTCGCGCTGTTTTCTCCCGTTACCTATGTGCACTGACTAGCCCAACTTCAGACTCTATTACAGTCCTTTCTTTTACATGGGGCCCATTTATGTGTTCCTCCAATATGTCACAACATCTCCTATGTCAATGCCATCGCCATCACTACAGGCAAGGCAAGGCATTACGGGAAAACAGCAAAGAAAGGAAATTACCCCCCTGAGGTAATGGTCCTTTTTGGTTCAACTACCCCATCATCTGGAAATCTGAATACTGTAGGCAAGTAAGGCTCCTGCACAACTGCTTAAAGGTGTGGTGTTACAAGTGTTCTAATGAACACAGTGCTGGGAAACTTTGAAGCCTGTAAGTCTAGCAAGTACTGGGTACCTTTGTGAGCGCCTACGTTCCACATTCCCTAAGCGACACAAGAATCCAGCTCGAGTAGGGAACAATCTCGTATTTTTAGGTGATGCAACCACACCATTGACTATTTTCAACGTTACTGAACCGATGGCGAAACCTCTAGAGACGTTGGCATTGGTGAGGCGAGTGACTGGAAAGGCAGCTTCCGAAAGAAAAGACAACTGTATCCTGGACTGTGTAAAAGGTTGAAGTCAAGACCCCAGGAAACCTTGTACATAGGTTCAATCTAGAATCAATTGTTTCATTTTAGGGGCGAAGCTCCTTAGGGTCTAGCCTTGTCCGGCGTCCGTCGACAGGATTCGAACCTGTGCGGGGAGACCCCAATGGATTTCTAGCCCATCGCCTTAACCGCTCGGCCACGACTGTGGGATGAGTAGGGGGCTCCGAGATGTGGTAGTAACTCAAGAGCTGGGGATGACATGGATGAAATGTTGCATGTAGCCACTCAACGTCTATACAGGAGAGGGCGCTGCGGTCAAATGCGTATATAATTGCGTTAAACTTTGCATGCATTGGCTCAACGTTTATAGACGAGAGGACGCGGCGGTCAAATGCTCAAATACGTATATAACCACGTTCCATACCACACATTCTCTTTCTGACATGGATGAAAACGAACGAAAGGCTCGGCATGCTGCGGCTCTGCTTCTACGCACCACCAGAGCTTCGCCCCAATCAACATCATTCACCACGTGGAGATGCGGTCATTTTCAATGACTCTGGGTTGAAACTGCTGGTTGCAGATAAGGAGGGTGGCTTTGTAGTTGCGCCAGAACGCACGTTTAAAAAAAAATCTACGCAAGCAGCGTTGAAAACTTTTAAATCAGTTCCGGATGTAATTTTGGGCAAAGTGAAGGCACGTGCAAGCAATTTGGTTTACAGAAACTCTATAAATCGGTCAGGGCAGCTAGTGGCTTAAATGTCCAAGCTTTTACAGTGAAGCTGTTTATGGCTAGGGTTCCATAGATTCCTCATGTGTGTCAGCAAAACCTCTGGTCCCGAATTTGATGCAAAATCGCTTCATTGTATGCTTATACGTCTGGCTCTGGCTAAGAACACGTCCAAGGCTATACCTGAGCCGATCAGTGTGTACCACAGAGACCACAAGGCCATTGTCACCACCATCATGATCAAAGGATGCACCGATCAAGACTAGTAATGACCCACTGATCGGGACAAATAATGATTCACCGATCGAGACAAATAATGACCACCGATCAAGACAACAATAAATGTGCGTGTGCACCTTTTGTCAGGATGACCACTGATCAAGACAATAAATGTGTTCATACATTCATTAAAAATTCTGCGTCAGTCTGTGTCGTGTGCTAAACAGCTTTGCTGGTCATCCACCGTCACAGAGTGGAATGGTTTAGGATTTTCTTCTCGGTGAACACCCACGAGACAAATTCACCCTTCAGGGTAACTGTTTCCTGCGTACGTCCATGGTTTTCGATCACCCAGACTCGTGCAAAACAAATCTTTTTTTTTTTTTTCGATAAAGTTTCTTGCGGGCAATTGCAACCCCTTTTGCTGCCTGAGCAACCCGTTCTGTTTTTCGGTCCCTCTCCATTTTGACAGTGCATGGAAGCTTTGGCAGCCAGAAGTTGAAATTCCACGACAACTCGTGTTTGTGGAGCACCTGAATGCACCCTTAGCATCTGGTACCCTTTGGTGCAGTCGTCCACTGCGAGATCGTCGGTAGTGGAAGACCCAGATTGCTCAGAGTCTTTGTGTCGACGCTGCGTCGGTTGCTGCTCTAAAAAATGGCAATCGACGCCCTTCTCCGCGTCGTGAGCAGAGTTCCGGCAAAAAGCCAAAACGAGGGTCGCTTTTTGTCGGAGCGTCCAAACTTGAGTTCGCCGGAGCCTACGCGGACCGTCGAGCGAGAGAAAGACCTACGGCAGCGTCCGTAGCGTCCACCCGCGCCACCAGCAGAAACGGGGCAGGCAGCGACGCGACACGAACGCGACCTCGTCGAGCAGAAGTGGAAGGACCGGAAACGCACCTTTCCAGCCTCGTCGGGATGCCAGGCCACGGCGGTGCCGGGGGAACGGAGGACGAGGCGAGCCCGCTGCTCCCCGTCCAGACCCCAGACCCGGCAGGCGTTGTCGTCCCCCACGCTCGCCACCGCCTCCCCCGAGTGCGGCTCCCACGCCACCGCGTTCACGGGGCCCCGGTGGCCGTCCAGCACCTGCGAAGGGACACGGGCTTCCTCCAGGCCTTCCACAACCGACTGGGACGCCACCATCGCAAGAAACCCGCCAATCCACAGAGCCAGAAAGAGACGTCCCCAAACGAGAGAGCACCAACAAAGACAATCCATAAAACAAAATGTTCGTAGAACCGCGTTTTTGGCGTCTGAAATGCCCAAGACACTACCCAAAAAAGTGAATGTTTGAACCGCTTGTTTGATTTAAGCACTATTTACAGGGCTTGTTTCTCTTGATGTTGAGAACATTTCTGCTATATTTTGTTAACCTGGGTGAAGTACAAAAACAATTATGAATGTTCAAAACTGAAAGGGAGCGTGCCTGCGTAGGAAAACTATCGTTTTGAAATTACTTATAAGTTTGTCGCTTTCATAAGTTATATTGCTTTAGGACAGTTCAAAGCAGATAGTTATGAAGTTATATTTCTATATTTTACCATCTTTCATGACAAAAAAGCCACATAAAAACAGATACTGTTTGTTAGATTTCCATCCTTTGTCCAACATTTGAGTTCTTGACCATGAAAAATGACAAAAATAAAAAAATGCAAGCTCATAGCTATCTTCCCCTTAAAATTTTAACCCAAAAAAACTAAAAAATGAATCCAAGTTACATAATGAAAAAAAAAAAATAGTTTTCCTAAAGTGAATTTGATGCCGAAAAGTGGAGTGGAGAAATATGCATTCAAAGTGCTGCAACGTCTACCTTTTCTTCAGCATCGGTGGACCGAAAATAATATATAAAAAGTTAACTATGCTCTGTGCACTAATGAAACTTTCTGGGAATACTCTCTAGATGTTGGTGGATGTAAATATGACATTTTTCAAAATCAACATTTTTTGCAGAAATTGTTTCTTCTGGGTAGTGTCCCCCCTAGAGAAGCACCAAACGCGCGGTCGTAGGTATCGGGACTTCCCAAGCTACTTGCACGTCTCATTCTTTCGCGCTCATCCTCCGGACTCGATCTGGCTTTGTTCGACTTTTTCGGAAACTTTGCGCCGAAAACTATGGACAGTGACAGGTTGAGAATCCACTGGATGCCTCGAGCACACACTCAATACCTCGCACTGGGCTTTGGCTGCACGTGCAACCAGCCACCATCAAAGGGCTCGCGCTTGAGGAGGAGCGTCTACCGGGTTCTTAACCCGTCACCGACCATAAACATCTCCGTCGAGTGTCTCGGGGTAAAAATGTATTTTTCCGGGGGTGGCCTCTCCAGGAGCGGCCCACGCCGCCGGTGCCCCGCAGGTTGGCCAGTACTCACGCTCATGTCGTCTGTTTCCTGAAGGTTGGAGCAGAAGATGCGCACTTTTCCATCCGAGCTTGCTGTCGCAAACCTGGAAGAAACAATACATGGCCCAGACGACTCGCGGACGGGAAGAGTAACCACGTAGCTGGCCTGCGAGGTCAACGCCGGCTGCGGAGGAAGCCGGCCCGGGGATGCTCGGAGCGGCGTCCCTCGGACCGGCGGATGTCCTCCTCCCGTGCCACTCTGTCGCATTGTGTGAGCCACCCAGTTTTCCAGTGGGTCGCAGTTTCTTTCCTTATCCCATCTGAATTCTCGCCCACGAAGTGCCACATACAGCTGGTACTGCCATTTACGGACCGAGAGTGTCTTTTCAGTTGCTGCTTTAGAGAACCGTGGACCCTACGGTTTGCAGATTGTTGACAGATTACCCGCCAGCAAATTACTCTCTCATTCAATTTTCTGACCTTACTTTGGATTCGCGTCAATTGGCATCCGGTGAGGTACTTTAAACTATGCTACGCTTACGGGCACAATATCTTGCCAACTTTTTTGCCTTACTCTTCCCGGTATTTTGAGGAAGCCAAATTTTCACAGCGAGTGGCTCCTTCAGTATAGGAAAACAATATATATGTGCTATCTACTTTCTTGCGACTGTGTTTGAATCACAAAGTTTCTAGAACACGAGTCTCTTACATTGTCATTTACTGGTTTCTTTTATGACCCAATTTATGGAAAACTTCACATTTACAGTCCTTAAAGGGACAATGAAGACAATTTTATTAAATTTTTTTAAATGGTGTTTTTATGCTTCTTGGGAACATAGCATGCTGCCCAATTTTTTGTAGACATTTCTGACGCGTATTTCTGTGCCTGCGAAAGAAGTAAAGAAACCGAAACTGAACAATCTCCATTTTCATTTCTGGGCCTCTGAAAACGGAGGTGACGTAGGAGTGACGTCCAGTGTGAATAGTCGGTATCGGTAGTATTTAGGAGATCAAGACTCTAAATACCACGGTGGGTTATAGCAGCGCGATGACACGGTCGTTTCGTCGAATCTGTCAACATGGACGGCAATGCCGCTCTCGTGAGCGAGTTCGAGCTTCCGTTCAGTGACCCAACACAAATGGAACGGGAGTGCGTGTGTGGCGGCCTGCAACATCACCCGACGGAAACCGCCCAGCCGGCAACGAGCGGCCCGCATGCCGAAGTGCCCATAGTTGCTTGTTGGCCATTTTGCGTCCAGCGTAGCAAAGAAAAAAAACAATTATGCTGCTTTATTTACGGTTTAGTAATCATTTTCGATCCGATTTATACTTTTCATGATCATTCGAGCAGAATTAGAACAGTAATGCAAAAGGTCGCAAACTAAAACGTGACCGAGGGCACGCCTCTCGTTTCGACCAATCGCTGACGCGTCTATTGTGACGTCGCGCTTCTGGGACCCGCGACGGTCACGTGAGCTCCGCTTTTCCTGGCTTGTCCCGCAACTCTCGGGGCGTCACCCCAGTCGATCCCGGTATGATTATTAGCGCGACTGTTTAATTGATTTGCGCAGCACATAAGCGCCGGTTTCAGCTGAAATTTGGGCAACGTGGCCTGAGACGTGCCTGGAACCCAGTTCAATCGCCAAAAAGATGTCCGAAATTGCCTTCATTGTCCCTTTAAAGAATGATTCTGGCCATTAGATTGGCACAGATGCTGATTCTCAAAAGAAACAAACGAGATTGTTTCGTCCTCACATAGCTGCAAATTTTTCCGAAAATTGCGAGAACACTGCCGAGCCTGGCACCAAGTAGGATCGCGCTTTCAAGAACAACTCGCTCTCTCTGGTGTAAATTTGTTACAAGGATTGTGTTACAAAGCCCTGCACAATCGGGGCCACTATACGGAGCAGTCTGGAAAGCTGAGCAAATGGGACGGCAAATGTTTAGACATGGAGAGGTCGCTCTGACCTCGATGTGTGGCCACATTGATTTCCTTGTAAGTGAGAAATTTAACCGAAGAAATAAAACTGCCAGCCCGGAGTCTTCATCACGCAGTGGCAATTATGCAAATGCACACCGGCGCCATTTTCCTCAGATTACCTGGTTCAGAATCTTTTTGCCACATGATAGGAAATTTTTCCCTAGGGACGAACTGCCGACGTTGGGAGTCAACCAGTCGGATGGCTCGGAGAACCTAACGAATAATGTGGTTTCAAAGAGAAGCCACCGTGGAGAAATTGCGTCCGCTCTTCCATAACACCCCGCGACCCACCAAAAAGATGGGCGACTGGAAATGCCATGCATGCTTGAAACTTGGGGGTCTTATTATTGGCAATTGAAGCGCCCCGCGAATTGCGGTACATCTGCTTAATAATAAAATGATCAAAATGTTTCTTTTTCATCTCACGTTTTGCTCGTGGTGGCAAAGCATGCCGGGGCGGAAAGCAGTCCCAGACGGCGGCTCACCCAAGGAGGGCTCACCTCATGCAGACCGGGCTGAGCACCAGCGACATGTTGGGGCTCCAGGCGACGGAGCAGACAGGCTCCTTGTGTGCAAAACGCCGCACCACCTCCACCGCCAGCTCCCCCTGGTCCGAGCCCTCGTCCTGGACAGGGTAGGGACACTCGTCACAAACCTCCGTGGGCCTCCACTGGCCCGGCTGCACTATGTCACAGTCACGCGACGCCATGATGGCGTCTGTCGTTGTGAGACATTAATCTTCCCACTAAATTTAGCGAAGAAATTGCCCTGGTTTCATGTGACACAATGTCGCACGATGCGTTGCCACAATTTCCCCGCTAAATTTAGTGAGGAAATGTATCCATTAGATTGCGATAAAAAGTGCCGAACGTTAAAACCCAAGCATTTGGTTCTCCCGGTGTGGCATATAACCTTGATGTATCTCCCCACTGTAATGCTGTCCAGGTACTGTGGGTATGCAAATAAATAAATAATTATTATCGCATTTTCGTTGCATCGGACAGAATGTTTGAACCAGGAGATTTTTGAGGCCACAGGCCATGCAGTTTGAGAAGCCACAATCGAGCCCTTTTTGACAGACACTGCTTAGAGATACGAAAGTTTCAACCAAAGGAAAACCACTAGCTAAATAATTACAGCATGAGAATGCACGTAAGAGGCAAAGGGAGCACCTCTCTTTGGCCAAGTCTACAGCTTGCACACGAATGCTTCAAACTCAGTTTGAAAGGTCCGCAAGAATCAATTTGTCAATGTATCGTGGTGGGATTTACTACAAAGGTGCATCTAGGTGGTGCACGCAGGGAGTGAAATTAAGAATGGAGAAACTCCCCTTGTTCGAGAAAGAATAGCCTTTTTCGGGCAATCTACGATGCCATGTTGCGGGCGACGCAGACGGAGCTCAATGACTTGGAGGTACTGCTGACAGATGGCGTATGTGCTAGTTCTGGTTTCGATAGCAGACAATCTCCAAAAGATTTGGTATTTTTCGCTTAATGCAGTGTACTTGTTTAGAATGTATAATTTTCAAAATGTAACATCTCCTTTATGCTTACTTGAAAAACAAATAAACGTAAAAGCGCCCTTTTATTTATTCGGCTTACGTTAAATCACTTTCATCTCTGTCAGTTTGTCGTCTGCTTACAGAAGTGCTGTGTTAACTTTAACTTAAATTTTCTTTTATCACCAACTGCTTCAGCTTGCTCGCTATCGCGTTCCATATTCTTTTTAGAGCTTTTACGTGTCGGTGTGAATTACATATCCAGTGATGTGATTGGCCTAAGCCGTTTTGGAGCATCTTTTGGAGCAGCAAAAGTGTTTTTTGGAGCAGATATTCTTAGGAAAATAATTTAAAAAAATACTTGTTTTAAGTGCTGGACAAAGGAAGGGCACTTTGCTCGCTGCAATAAACAAATTATGGTTGAGTTAGACAACCTGGGAGTCTTTCCACATGTAACTGAAATGCCAATGACATGACACATTTTGCAATGCTTCAGTTAAATGATACATATATATATACCTGGCTAGAGATAAATAAAAGCCAAACTGCACATATAAAATTTATTTGAAAATGACCAGCTCAGTAGTAAATATTGCACCATTAGGTTTACTAGGTATATGATGTAATAAATGAAAGCAGCCTCCAAATCATTAAGGGGGGACACTACCCAGAAAAACAATTTTCTGCAAAAAATGTTAATTTTGAAAAACTACATAAATACATCCAACAGCCTCTAGAGTGTATTCCCAGAAAGTTTTATTAGTTTACACTGCATAGTTAAATTTTAGTAAATTTTTTTCTGTCCACCGAAGCTAAAGAAAAGGTAAGGTTTGAAGCATTTTGAACGCATTTTGCTCCGTTCCATTTTTTGGTATAAATTCCATTTTATTCAATCTATCGTTTATAATGGCAATACAGGGGAGGCTCGTTCTTCACTTTTCCTGACTGAAATTTAATAAGGAGTGCAGCTATGGAATGTTTTTGTCGCTTTACAGGTGTCTTTTATAAAAAAATGTTGACATTTTGTCAAAGACACAGAAGTCCAAAAAGTTGACCAATTTTGCAGAAGATAAAATTTATAGAAAAAACTGAGTTTTTACAAAAACCTTTCCATAGCTGCATTCCCTAGGTATTCTGCTACATATCTAGCAAATCAAAATCTTGATCATTGGGATAGATTTCCGACGATAGATTTACTAAACAATGTGGGCGTGTAGCTGATAGAAGCTATTTACCCAACAGACCTTAAATTTTGTTATGCACCCTCTAGCATGACCACTAGCCTACCCTGTAAGTTTTATTAATTTTAAGCAAAGGGTTCAAAAGTTGACCCTCCTGGGTGGTGTGCCCCCTTAAACACGTAACTACTGCAGCGCAATGCAAAATCGTATACATAAGAGAAAGGTGCATTTCGACTAGCGAGTACTCTTCTTTTTGCTTCTCTAAACTTTCTGCAAAACTGCCACAAGCCTCGCTTTGCCTTCGGCTAGTAATGAATGTCCACTTTCAATGTCTCCAATGGAACATTGAGACGTCCCACAAGTGTACAGTGATGTAGGCGTTGCCGAGCAATTCTGAAAAATCGCTTGCCACCGTTTTACTGGTTCCAGACGTGCCAGTTTTTGGTCAAAAGTAAGCAAATGCAAACAAAAAAAAGATGGATTGTCAGCGATCGGCTGGTGCCCCTGTCGTGCAATCATGTTCACATGCACGTGAGGGAAACTTCGGCAGGCTTGCAGTTGCACGTGCTTTGTTGCGCGAGCGGAGACAACGGCTGTCCAATCTAAACCACACCACTCCGCTCCGTTGCCAACTGGTTCCCCAAAAGTGTATGCAAAATGTAACTGTCCAGCATACGACAAAAACAGTCCAGCGGCACGTGCTTGCCAGGCCGGCAGGAGAGGTGCAAGCTAAACACACAGAAAAAAGAACCTGAGCATAACGATGCAAGACATCGCGAGCCAGGTTCGAAACGTTCTGGGAGCACTTCGTGCAACGACTGAACGCGAGACAAACAAGCGCGCTGTGCGGGTTCAGCGAGCAGACATTGCCTTCTTTGCTTTAGCTCACTTCTCTTCAACATTCTTTCACGGCAGATTTTTCACGTACCAGGGTCCCTATCGAAAGAAAGCCCATCGAGAGAAACCTAGGTAGTGAATACTTCGACACAGAAGTGTTTGAGTTAAAGAGGGATATTTGTAGTAGCGTATGATTTAAACAAGAACAAGAATGTTGATCAACATGCGGCGGTCCTTACGTTTCAGTTTAGAAAGCGCTATATTGGTAGCGACGTGGGGACGGCAACACCCGATGTCGCGCGAACACGGTGACTGGTAGGCAGGGACCAAATCTGGTTTTCCCACGGCCGTTGCTTTTAGGAGCGAGTGCTTCAGCTCACAAAGTAACTCCTACCGTGCAAAAACGTGGCTTCGTTTCACAGCATAACGGCATGGCTGGTACCCGGCACGCTAGCGCCGGAGCGTCCGCACACACCCGCGTCTATCGTTGAAACTTTCTTAAAAAGACGCGGGACGAGACCCACGAGACGACGAAAGTGTGAAACGCAAGACGGCGGGAAAACTATGCAAGACCGGGTGGAGCATTAATGCGGGCTACTTTGTGCAGGGCGGCTGCTTGCACCCCATAACACACGCATGCTCAATTACGGTACTCAGTTTAGTTTCGGTTTTGAAAGGCGACCGAAATTGGTCCTTTGGCGCAGGCTTGGCGCAGATTACCCATATTTTGGCAAAATGTAGCAGGATGTAGCAAAGCTAGCCCCTTGGCACAGTTTGGCGCAGCAATCGTATCACTGCATATCATAATGGCCCGCTAAGAAATAGCACAGAAGGGAAGGTCATTCTCTGGTACACATAGTATCAGAGTACAAAAGCTGTACGTTGTCGCTTTCGGAGAGAATTTGGGAAAAGATGCCCTAATTTGCCCACCATTCAAAGATGGACTCGGTGCTTTGTCGACAAGGGAAGCGTCGAGAACAGAGCTCCAGTTTCGTTTGTGTTGTCGTGATCATTTGGGGCATTTTCATTATATCCACACCTGACAACTCGCAGAGCTCTGGTCTGTTCAACGTTAGCCACAGCTACGTTCTCCACATCCCGCGGAGGCAGGAAATGCATCCCTATAGGCTGCCTCCACAAACTGTCTGCCGAGGACAAGGAAAGGCGCCTTTTGCCAGACGAAGCAGCACCATATTGCCGCTGACCCGTCATCTACCTCCTGTTTAGAGATGAAGCCCTTTTTAACCTCGACAGCCACGTGGTGGAGCAAAACTGCAGGTTTTGGGCTGACTCCAATCCGAACCAGGAGCGAGCGCCTCACACACCAAAAGTGACCGTATGGTGCAGAGTACGGAAGGAGGGCGTCGTCTTTGAAGGGTCAGTCACTGGTGACGCACACCTGCGCATGCTCCAAGACGAGTTTCTGCCCTGCGCCAGCAAGATGCCCGCGCACTACACGTCCTGGCATGGTTGGACCAACCCTGGAAAGTGGATGGGCCACTCGACGATGCCGTGAACCTCTCCTGACTTTTTCGTGTGGGGGTTCCTGATGAGCAAGGTGTATGTCGGCCGGATTCAAGCAATGACAGACCTCATCGAGGCAGCCTTTGGGATGATTTCTGACAGCGTGCACCAAGTTGCCTTCCAGGAGGAGAGGCTCAAGACCCGTATCCATCTGCAGGGAGGACGTGCCGAGCTGCAGTGAACATTGTTTGTGCTGTTGTCGTTATTTTTATTTTGGACAAAAGGCCCAAGCACCCGCGAACGACTCTTCTCACGACTCGACCATTCTTCGCATAGGGATGCTCGGTCGTGGTGCTGCAGCCTCGTGTTTCAGCTGCGCCATCTGTCGGCAGCACCTCCGAGTCAATGAGCTCAAACAACGTCGCCCGCAGAATGGCGTCGTAGCTTGCCTGAAACAGGTTATTCTTTTTTTGTACTCGAACGAGGCAAGTTTATTCGTTTGTATGTAAAGGTCAAATTCAGTTGACACACTTTTGTTAGCCAGCAAAATAAAAGTGTCAGAATTAGCCATATCTGAATATTTTAATAGTGTTAATATGAAACTGACAATCCAGATGGACTAATGCGACCACATGCACACATAAA